TTTGCGTCGAAAAAACTAAAATTTTCTGATATCCATCTACAGGAGGAATTAGTCATTGTTCAGATAGTATAGCTAGCACCCATGAAAACTTTACTTTCACAGCGTTTTCATACATTATCTTACCTGCTCGTCGCGCAGACGTACGCTGATTGGCATTTGAAACGTGCGCGTGGTCGGTATACACGACCACGCCGCGCGGGAACATAGTTTCCATGTGCAGCAGCAGCATCGTTTTTGCAGCGTTATTGCAACATGTTTTTGTTTTTATTGTGTTTCTTTTACGTGCGTCAGTTGGTTTATTGACTGTCTTGCATTTAGTTTCTCTGAAGAATGGTCTAATAAAAACCCTTACAAATATGGGAATGTATTTACTGGGGCACAGCTGATTTACACTGGGGCATGTATCCCAGTACAAGTGGTCTAGCGACGCCGATGGTCACCTGGAACAGAATTTGCAGAAACAACCTCCTTGTGTGTTAACATTTTGGCCATATGGTCCGCCAATGTGTATTCTGCTTCCTCCTCTGTACGTTGGAATGGTTTCAACTGTGGGATTATGTAGGGTCTGCCATACATAAATTCAAACGGTGTTAATCCGTTAGCCATGGGAGTTACATGCATGTTTAGCACTACCAGGGGCAGACGATAGATTTAGTTTTTACCAGTTTCTTCCATAGTTTTTCTCAATTTGATTTGATTTGATTTATTCTTTCAAACATGTAATAACAGTCAATATGTCAACACACATAATTCCACACATATCCACAAATATATTATCAATTTGCTTATACCTAGTACATGCTTGAACGGAGTAGGAAGAAGTTAGACTTATCTAGTCCTACCCCCTAACATCATCTTATCATCATTGATTTGCAAGCAGTATTACTACATAGATAATTTTGTTCTGCACCACTCTAGTGAGGTTTTTTTGCTTGGACTGTGCTTCCAATTGCTCCATTTTATACATAATAGTTATTAGACTCTCTCGGGTTTTATCGATGTCCCGAAAAGTGTCTTTGGCAATTTTTTCATGCCTCCCCACGTCCGCTTTAATCGCGTCCACATCTCGCTGGGTAAACTGCAAACTTGTTTTTATCTCCTGCATTTCTTTGGTCAAGTCGTCGAATCTCTTGTTATTTGTCTCCATAATTAGTTTCACAAAGCCTTGGAAACTCTCATTCTGTTGGCACATCAGCGCAGTGTACATAGTGCCTTTGAGAATGCCATTATGTCTTTCTACTAGCCCTGCAGATTGTGGATGGTATGATGCTTTAGGTTTATGTGCAGAGTCTGGGCTAATAGGGATATTACACTATTCACGAAGTGTGTTCCATTATCACTATATATTTTCTCTGGTATTCCATACCTAGGAACTATTTCTTTCACCAGTGCCTTTGCTACTGTGAGAGCATCAGGGGCGGCTGTAGGAAACACTTCTAACCATTTAGTAAACATGTCTATGATAACCAGACAAAATTTCTTCCCTTCACATTTGTTGAGTTCTATGAAATCCATACAAATATGTTGAAATGGAAATTTTGGTGCAGGGAATGCACCCCTTTTTGGTCTGTGGTTACCTTTTGCATTATGGTGAGCACATATAGTGCAGCTAGCACAAATTTTTTTAGAGTAATTAGAGAAGCCATATGCTGTAAACACCTTTTCTATGATACTAACCATCCCTCCTGTTGAGACATGACTGTGGCCATGGCTCAATAAGGCAGCAAATCATTCTTATCATTTTATGACCCTAAGGATATCTGTAACAATGTGTCAGGGTTCTGTCCTACTGCTTCCTGTTTCAGGCTCTTATTTTGTCGCCACTTCCTGTTCCAGGTTCATCTCTGTTATGGACTTTTTATAGTAATCAGTGCTCATTGCCTACACCTGTTTTCACCCCATTGTAAGCAGCCTTCTCCCACCAGTAACCTCCCAGATTGTTCTTGACTGTGCAGACTTTCCAGCGTTTTTGCTTTAGTGATTCGTGTTATTGACCCCGGATTGTTTACTGACCACCAATTTCTGCCTACCCCTCCTCATTGTTGTATGTTTATTCTGTGTACCGACTACTGGACCAGCTTCTTTGACCTCCCGTTTTGGATCCCTTGGCTGTGTTCGTTTGCCGGTATTGACCCTGGACTGTTGTGTGACTTGGATTAATGGTTTCTGGACTGTCACTGTGTATTTTCTGAGTGAGTGCAGTAAAAGCGATATTTACTTTATCTTGCCTGGCTTTATAATTGAATCCACCATTAACATTGTGGGTAGCTGTACTGGCCAACCCTGACAACAATGCAGGTAATGCTTATCACAATCTTGCAGAACATGTATGTTTGTGTGCTGTGGTATAGAAAATAAGTCAAAAATAATTAAAAATACAGAGTTTTAAGAATGCAAATTACTCAAAACAAACAGTAATAGGCATTCTTAATGCCAGGAAGCTTTGAAACAAAAAGTTATTTAAAGTGTTTAGCCAAAACAAGGTTCAGGGGCTAGGACTCTGCTTTGGAGCAAAGAAAATAAGCCAAAATGCATCAAATCAACTTGTACAACAACGTAACGTAATTAACAATACCGCAAGAGCCCAAACTAAAAATCCTGTTGAGAAAACAAAGTTTAAAACAAAAATCAGAGTGGACATTGTCTCTGATATGGTCTCTAAATTGACTTGGTAATGATTTTAACAAGCAGAACCCCCCCCCCAATTAGGCCTACATCATCAGGTCCTGTTGACCATAAATGTTGAGGAATAGATGTTAAACTATTTGTGAGTGAAAACCTGGAATGTTGCTTTTCTCCCAGTCGCATGCACGTGTTATAGTTTCCATAACAAAGTGACTGGTCAGTGTATATAGGTCAATCAGTAGGCTATTACTGATTGTGTGGGCATAGTGGGTATTGGAGAGGGTTGGGGGGAAAAAAAAACCTCATTTCCCACAATACTTTGGTCCTTGATGTCATGGAGTTTTCCATCTACGGTCAGCTGATCTAACTGAAGTCAGTCTCCTGGCGGAAATGTAAATGTTACAAGCTGTGGTACAGTGGTGTAAAGTGTCGTAGGGAGATTACGACAGATAACCTAGCTTTCCATTGGCTTTCAGTCTGCTGAAACAGGTCATTTTATTGATTAGTTACGGATACCAGTGAGACAAGTTAACAGCTTTTTATCGGTGTCTATTAAATGCTAACGTTATAAACTAACAGCAGGTCTTTAATATGTGCAGCTAGCTAGTGGACTGTGATTATCTAGAGGTGTGTATAGTGTTAACTCTGAAGAAGCTGAGATGGAAGAAGACAGTGATGTGGAGGGCACTATGGAAGCACCCGAACTTCCCGTGGAGGTGAGTTAATGCGTTGGTCAGACAAACACTGACGTGACACATTTTTCTTGCTTACACAACCGACCTGCTTTATATTAATAAAGTTACCCACATACGGGAGTTGCCAGTAGAGCCTCAGTAACAGTCTGGTGGATGAGAATTTGTCTTGAGCTACTGCTCTTATTACAGGACAGTAATATGTCAGTCATTCATACAGTATGCTGTCATTTGACTTAACAAAATAGTGTCAGGTAACCCTGGTGTAGAGTTTCCTCAGCTGTCATCAGTGACTTTCAGCTAATATAATGCTGTATTTTGATCTCTTGCTGTAGATCATAGTTTACATCCTGAGCTTTCTTCATGCCCCAGACAGGAAGGAAGCCTCACTGGTCTGCCACAGCTGGTACAGTGCCAGCCAGGACCTGCGTTTTCAGGTAATTTGCGCCACACTGAGACACATAATTATGAGAAATTCTTCAGAGGATGGAGTGACTGAAAGGTGGCTGTAGTGGGGTCTGTATGAGCATGTTTGCTTTAGGGCAGAGTTAACTTTTCTATCTGCTTCCCTTTTGTATAGAAGAATATTACCTTCCGCTTCCCAGCTTCAGCCTCAGCCCTGGAGCTGGTGAGAGGTCTGGGCAGAAAACCATGCTGCAGTCTGGTTATCAGCCAGCTCGATGGCTTCACTATGTCCAAATCATTGCTCCTGGAGGTGCAGTATGCTACTCTAAAACCATATGGCTAGTTCAATTAGCATGAGTGTGGATAGTTGTCTGAGATTCTATTTCAGTCTTTTCATAGCTGAAGATTAAAGCTAAAAAGATTAGAATGGACTGGATGACTGTGTGGCAACTTTAATCATCATAAATATTCCTTGAAATTTTTCAAATTGACCAGACATCAACTTAATAAGTGGTAAAGTTAAACTATTACTCCTTTTACTGATGAACACTCTGGAGCTCCATCTTAAACCCAAACTAAATCCCTCTTTATGGAGCATCACGAGCAAACAAAATGAATTGGAAGCAGAAATGGATGGAAGAAACATATGACAATAGTACTTTGGAATGTGAGTGCTTCGATGTGTCTTGTTGTAGTTATGATATTGCCACTATCATGTGAAGACCTCCTTCTCTGACTTTAGTTTTGTTTTCATCAGAAAAGGTCACGCGTCTCTTGTGCATTCAGAGACCTCCAGGGTTTAAGTAAAAGACTTTTAACAAATAACTTGTTGAGCAAACAAGCTGAGTGATTTATTTATTTATTTTTTTATTCATCTCAGAAACACTATCACCAGGCAAGAAACGAAGTCTCTTCCCCTGAAAGATGAGCATTTAATTTGAAGATTAAAAACATTTTTGAAAATTGTGATTATTTAGATACTGTATCTCTCTTAAATTTCTCACCACACTGAGCAGGAGGTAGTTTAGCATAGTCGTAATTAGACACCTTGTGGTCCAAAGTTCAGATGAGCTGCAGTAGTTACTCTGGATTTCAGACCCTTATCACAGTATTGTGTTTGTATTTGCATAAAATTTCCTGTTTAAAAAAAAAAAAAAAAAAAAAAGTGCATTGGACCAAGTTGGAAAACTCCAACTGTTGCCTAGAACACATGGTTTATATGTAATTTGTTTTATGGTAGGGCATTTGCCGCTCTCACCTCTGCCTTCCCATTCCTTCTCTCTTTGCTCTGTTCTGCCCCACCCCATATCTTCTCTTTGAATTAATGCTGCTTGTTCTCACGTATGTGATTGTCTCTTTTTGTGTCCCTCCCTCTTCAGGTGGCTCAGTGTCTGGGCTCTAAGTTGGAGAGCTTGGCCCTGCCTGGTAGCAGTATAACAGAGGCCTCTCTGCTGGCCCTCCTCCCTCGCCTCACATCTCTCCGCAGACTGGACCTCCAGGGCCTGGACAGCCTCTTTATGTCTGGAGTTTTCCTCTGCAAGGAAGAGCACAGACAGCAGGTATTATACAGTGCCTTGCGAAAGTATTCGGCCCCCTTGAACTTTGCGACCTTTTGCCACATTTCAGGCTTCAAACATAAAGATATAAAACTGTAATTTTTTGTGAAGAATCAACAACAAGTGGGACACAATCATGAAGTGGAACGAAATTTATTGGATATTTCAAACGTTTTTAACAAATAAAAAACTGAAAAATTGGCCGTGCAAAATTATTCAGCCCCCTTAAGTTAATACTTTGTAGCGCCACCTTTTGCTGCGATTACAGCTGTAAGTCGCTTGGGGTATGTCTCTATCAGTTTTGCACATCAAGAGACTGAAATTTTTGCCCATTCCGCCTTGCAAAACAGCTCGAGCTCAGTGAGGTTGGATAGAGAGCGTTTGTGAACAGCAGTTTTCAGTTCTTTCCACAGATTCTCGATTGGATTCAGGTCTGGACTTTGACTTGGCCATTCTAACACCTGGATATGTTTATTTGTGAACCATTCCATTGTAGATTTTGCTTTATGTTTTGGATCATTGTCTTGTTGGAAGACAAATCTCCGTCCCAGTCTCAGGTCTTTTGCAGACTCCATCAGGTTTCCTTCCAGAATGGTCCTGTATTTGGCTCCATCCATCTTCCCATCAATTTTAACCACCTTCCCTGTCCCTGCTGAAGAAAAGCAGGCCCAAACCACGATGCTGCCACCACCATGTTTGACAGTGGGGATGGTGTGTTCAGGGTGATGAGCTGTGTTGCTTTTACGCCAAACATAACATTTTGCATTGTTGCCAAAAAGTTCGATTTTGGTTTCATCTGACCAGAGCACCTTCTTCCACATGTTTGGTGCGTCTCCCAGGTGGCTTGTGGCAAACTTTAAACGACACTTTTTATGGATATCTTTAAGAAATGGCTTTCTTCTTGCCACTCTTCCATAAAGGCCAGATTTGTGCAGTATACGACTGATTGTTGTCCTATGGACAGAGTCTCCCACCTCAGCTGTAGATCTCTGCAGTTCATCCAGAGTGATCATGGGCCTCTTGGCTGCATCTCTGATCAGTCTTCTCCTTGTATGAGCTGAAAGTTTAGAGGGACGGCCAGGTCTTGGTAGATTTGCAGTGGTCTGATACTCCTTCCATTTCAATATTATCGCTTGCACAGTGCTCCTTGGGATGTTTAAAGCTTGGGAAATCTTTTTGTATCCAAATCCGGCTTTAAACTTCTCCACAACAGTATCTCGGACCTGCCTGGTGTGTTCCTTGTTCTTCATGATGCTCTCTGCGCTTTAAACAGACCTCTGAGACTATCACAGTGCAGGTGCATTTATACGGAGACTTGATTACACACAGGTGGATTCTATTTATCATCATTAGTCATTTAGGTCAACATTGGATCATTCAGAGATCCTCACTGAACTTCTGGAGAGAGTTTGCTGCACTGAAAGTAAAGGGGCTGAATAATTTTGCACGCCCAATTATTCAGTTTTTTATTTGTTAAAAAAGTTTGAAATATGCAGCAGGATGACAGCGTGAGAATGACCTGAAGAGCTGACAGTCTGTTCCTCTAGTATAATCTTCATATACAGTCCAGAGTGTATTTGGACAATTGCACATTTTTTTGTTCTTCAGTCTTTGTACTTCAGTAAATTGTTTGAAATAATATAATGGATACTACAGTCTCAGCTTTAATATAACTGTGTGTGAAGATATAGCCCTTTTAACATTTAGTACCCAAATTTTAAGACTTCAAAATTTGTTGGACACTTGGCTACTAAATGTTTCTTGAACAATAGTTGTCTGTGCACAAAAGAGCTCCCACGTGACTTATGGCGTTTTTCAACTGAATGTAAAAATGTGTTGCGATGAGCCAGCTCTGTTGAATGCAGAGCTCAGCCCCATACGGACTTGGCTGGAAGCAGGGCCGACTGAACCCATGTCAGCATGGTTACCCCCTCTGTAAGAAACTGAGGCTAACCTGTGCCTGCCTGGCTCCACATGGTAAAAGCAGGTTGAACCGTGCTGATGGAAAAATACCATTAGATTGAGGTGCGGTTGTCTGTCAGTATGAAGAATAAAGAGCTTTTAAAGATAGTTGGTTTCCTAAAATCAGTAGGTGCACACATGAAAACTAGAAAATGGAAAAAGACGTGGTAGACCGAGGAGCACAAGTCTTGCAGATGGAAAAACATTTACTGTATATGGTGAAGAAAAGCCCATTTCTGAATGCACAGCAAGTCACAATGTTTCTCTGGGATGTAGGCAAACATGTGCCCCTGACAACAATCAAGAGAAAACTGGTCACACTGGCATTTATTGATAATTCACGGTTGACAGAAGCAACAGGATGAATGCAGAGCTGTACAGCAGCTCTGTAATTGTTCATTCAGTTCATTTGCATAGGAACTTCTATGCGAGGTTTGACAGGTTGTCATCATTCAACAGGACAGTGATTCTAAACCTAAGGGCCAAGCAACCAAAGAACTTTTCAGGGTGGAATATCCTCAACTGGCTGAGTGAATCACCTGATCTCAGTCCAACTGCTTTCCTTTGCTGCAAACCAGACTAAAGGCAGAGCCCACAACAAGCAAGAGTGGAAGGCCTGAAAGAGCATAACAGGAGAAGATAAAAAGCTTCTGCAGAGGTCAATGTGTCAAAGACTTCAGGCTGTAGAGTCACTATGAATTTCTACAAAATATTAGTTATGATTATTTTGTGATAATGATGATAATCACATTTTATGGCCAATTATGTTACACACACACACACACACACACACACAAGGAATTTGTCTCCAGTACAGACGGCAGCCATCTGCGGCACCAACTCACACAAACACACACACACACACACTTGGTTAGGAAATGACCACTCTAGCTCCTGATCCACAGCTGTGAATTTTTATGTCTTAAAGGGGCTGTATTTCCCAACAGTTCTTTCTTTCATAAAGAGACTCCCGATGAGGGCGTAACCCTGGATGGTTACTCTGTGTTCAGACAGGATCGCAGCGCCGCTGAAAGTGGCAAGACCCGCAGAGGAGGAATGGCTGCCTTCATCAAACAGTCCTGGTGCACAGACTGTGTAAGATTCTCTCTAAATTCTGTTCTGAAGATGTGGAATATTTAACACTAAAGCTAAGGCCATTTTATTTTCTTAGAGAGCTGCAATGTATCATTGTGAGTGTAGTGTATTCCCTTCCCCCCCAGGCAAAGAGGAAGCTGCACTGAAGGAACTGTACAGAATGATTAATTGGCATGAAAACACATACCCTGATGCTGCCTTTATTATTCTGGGAGATTTTAACCACTGCGATCTCAGGAAAAGCCTAAACTGTATCAGTTTGTAACCTTCCCTACAGGAACCAAAACACTGGACCAATGTTACAGTAACATTAGAAACACTTTCTCAGCTGAACCTAAACCTCACTTTGGTAGATCTGACCACCTAACAGTCCGGTTCAAAACCTGCTTACACCAAACGACTCAAGGCGAAACCAGTCTCAGTGAGAGCTGTTAACACCTGGAACAACTGTACACAGGCCAGCCTGCAGGGCTGTCTAGAGGCCACAGACTGGAGCATCTTCAAATGGGCCACAGATGACATCCATGAATATGCAGAGACTGTGAGTGACTACATCAGCTGGTGCACATCCATATGTGCACCAGCTAGAACGGTGTGTGTTTTCCCCAACCAAAAACCATGGCTTAATAGGGATATAAAACAGAAAATCAGGAAGAGATGAGAGACTTTTAAGTCAGGGGACCAAGTGGAGTACAGGAAAGCCCGGTATGAGCTACAGAAGTCCATCAGAGCTGCAAAGAGAGCATACTTCCAAAAACTGGAGAGCTACTATATGAATAACAACATGCGCAGTATGTGGCAGGGAATCCAGGTAGTCACAAACTACAGGAAAAAATCAACAAACACAGCCCCCCAGGACACCACCTTCCCAGAGAGCCTCAACAACTTCTATGTGAGGTTTGACAGGTTGAACACAGACACCCCCTCAAAATTCCCCTGCAACCCGGGGGACCTGCTTTTCAGGTGACGCACACACAGGTCCTGAAGGCCCTGAAACAGGTAAACCCCCATAAGGCTACGGGACCAGACGATGTCCCCCCTAGAGTGTTGAGAGCCTGTGGAGATCAACTAGCTGGTGTGTATACAGACATCTTCAACCCGTCCTTAACCCAAGCAGTAGTTCCTTGCATTTTCAAAAAAACCATTATCATACCGGTCCCTAAGACATCAGACACATCCACTCTGAGTGACTTCAGGCCAGTGGCGCTCACATCAGTCGCCATGAAGCGCTTAAAGAAACTGGTCCTCACACACATTAACTGCATGGTCCCGGACACTGTAGACCCCCTCCAGTTTGCCTACCACCCCAACAGATCAGTGGACAACGTGACTGCTCTGGCTTCATTCTATACCCTGAAACACCTGGACAACACTACGTATGCTAGGATGCTCTTCCTGGATTACAGTTCTGCATTCAACACCATTCGCCCAGGTAGGCTGATTGGAAAGATGACAGACCTCGGTGTACCAACTCCCACCTGTAACTCAATTATGGACTTTCTGACTGAAAGACCACAGATAGTTGGAATGAGAGGGCGGGTGTCTGCTGAGCTCACAATCAGCACAGGCTCATCACAGGGCTGCTGTATCATCCCCAAACTCTTTACCCTGTACACCCCAATTATGGACTTTCTGACTGAAAGACCACAGATAGTTAGAATGGGAGGGCTGGTGTCTGCTGAGCTCACAATCAGCACAGGCTCATCACAGGGCTGCTGTATCATCCCCAAACTCTTTACCCTGTACACCCACGACTGTGTCTTCAACCATGACACCACCATCATCATTAAATATGCTGACGACACCACCATTCTGGGCTTCATCAAGGGGGGAAACGAGTCAGGTTACAGAAGCTTGGTGAACAACATTCTTGTTTTTGGAGAGGAGAATGACCTCATCCTCAACATAAACAAGACAAAAGAAATAATGGTAGACTTCAGGAAGCACCCCTCTTCTCTGCTGCCCCTGACTATCAAAGGGACTAAGGTGGAGAGGGCTGACAGCCACAAGTTCCTGGGCCTGCGGGTGACATCTGACCTGAGCTGGTCACTGAACAGCTGCCACAGTGAAGAAAGCCCAGCAGCCGCTATACTTCATCAGGCGTCTCAGAAAAGCTGGGCTGAAGTGTCACCCTCTCACCCAGGCTTATAGAGGACTGATAGAGAGCATCCTCACTACTGGCATCACAGCCTGTTATGGTAACACCACACAGGCAGAGTGGAAGGCTCTTCAAAGGGTCATAAAGACTGCAGAGGGGATAATTGGGGCTGAACTGCCTGCTATGGACACACTGTACACACAGTGCTGTTGTAAAAGGGCAGAGAACATAATCTGAGACCCACACCACCCAGCCTACTCTCTGCTCAGACACAAAAACTGCACCTACAGCCTCAGGTGCAGCAGGATGGACAGTATCGTCACACAGAACAAGACTACAACAGCTTTTTCCCTGCCACAGTAAGACTGATGGCAAATATGAAAATGTGAGAATATATGGCTCAGGCATCTGTTTCGGATGCTTCCTGGGCGCCTTCCTAGGGAGGTGTTCCGGGCATGTCCCACCGGGAGGAGGCCCCGGGGAAGACCCAGGACACGCTGGAGGGACTATGTCTCTTGGCTGGCCTGGGAACACCTTGGCATCCCCCCGGAGGAGCTGGAGGAAGTGTCTGGAGAGAGGGAAGTCTGGGCATCTTTGCTTAGACTGCTGCCCCCGCGACCTGGTCCCGGATAAGCGGAGGAAAATGGATGGATGGATGGATGGATGGAGAATATATGTGCAATAACCCCTTACTAGACATGCGCAATAATAATACAGAAATGTTCCACACGGTATTTTTGTAAGAGCATCTCATCAAAAGTGTTCTCTTGTGGGACCTGAATATAAGCAGGACATTCTCTACCAAGCAATGGAAACAGGCCTGAATATAAACTGTGTTTTAGTATGTTATAACCCCTCACTACCTCACAAAGTGTAATGACATATTCAACTCCACCATGTGAATTACTAAGTGCAATGTTTAAAGTTCACGGGGGAAAATACTATTACCCTATTTTTGTGTATTGTGGTTTTAATGCTTTGTTGCCTTTATGTAACTTTTCTATTTTAAGACTAAGTGTTCTTTCTGGCTTTTGACTCCTTACCTGACTCCAAAGGAGAGCTGTACAAGAATTTCTATATTCCTGGACTGTCTGTTTATGCATAAATGGCAAAGAAAAATCTTGACATGACTATATTTATGTAAATGTAACTGAATTAAAGCTAAGACTCTGCACTTTAAGGCAATATCCATTATTTTATTTCAAATTAATGGTGCTGAAGCTAAAGATTTCAAAATAACCTTCCAGGTGCTTATGGTCTGCATTGTATATCTTTAGGTATACTGTGTTTTGACACTGCAGTAAGAGTGATGTAAAATATTAACAATATAACATGGCCAAAACGTTCACTTAGACACTGCAAATGCAAAGAGCAAAAATTGTACAGCTGTGTTCTGCGCTAAAAATCCAAAACTCAGTAACTACATATTTGGCCTAAATTTAGTCAAGACTGATGATATCAGGTTTTTGCTGCTATTCATGTGATCTGGAGTTGTTAAATTAACTCATTTATTAACAGATGAACAGACATTACAGCCTTTTTATATGTTAGGCTATTTGCACAACGCTCAATTACACTGCTTCTGTAGTTACTGCTCCCTACAGGTGGAGAGCATCATTAAAACCTCACATTTGTAATGTTTTAGCTCTGTGTTAAGCAGGGATTAGCATCTCCCTGTATCTGTAGTCACCTGATGAGAAATGGGTGTCAGCAGTGATAAATATAATTATGACTGGCCATTCTGCTCAGTATTACAGCAGGTATATGTACCCTTTCATAATAATTCCACACAGTAAATTTTTTTTTATTGTCACAGAGCTTTGTAGCTTTTGCACCAGTGGTAGTAATGCACTAGTTTCAGGATAAACCTCATTTTCTTGTTACAGGTCAGGTCAGCTCTGTTTGGTCTGGAGGAGCTGGACCTGTCCAATCTGCGCTACCTGTCTGACCTCTCCTTCAGTCGACTCACCAGCTGCACCCCACGCCTTCGCCGGCTCTCGCTGGCTGGCTGCCCTATCGCCTTCGAGTCGAGGGTGCCCGGTGGGAGACGAGAACTCATCAGCATTACTGTCCCTCAGGAACTTGAGGAGGTTGTTAACAGAGCAGAAGTCGACCCTTGTTGCTCTGGACCTCAGCAGAACCTCCATCACCCCTGAATCACTACGCACTATTGCACAGGTCAGGATACTTGAAGTCCCTGAAACAGCCTCTTTATTGCTTGATCAGAAGAATGTCATCATAAAAGAAACTGCTCATCTTATAACAATACCTATTTGCCAGAGACAAGAGGCTGCATTTACTGTATACTTAAGATTTCATAAATTACATTGAATCTTTTTAAATTTTAGCATATCCTTTAACTCACATGTGTCAAACTCGAGGCCCGTGGGCCACATCCAGCCCACGAGATCATTTTTATATATATGTATGTGTGTGTGTGTGTGTGTAGATTAAATGTATACACTTAAGAGCCTTTCTGTCATAGAGTAATGTTTTCTATGCAGTCCAGATCTTCCTATACATCATTTTCTTTGACACCTTTCAGATTTTTTTTTTCCTTGCAGTCGCATCAGTTTCTATTTTCTGTGAAAAATTGTCATTTGGCCAGAGTTAAGTGTTTTGTAATAATGTCCAGACAGCATAAACATGTAAGCTCAAAACCAAAGGTTCATATTCATTTTATAATAAACTAGGAAATCTTTCTTTGGTCTTTAAACATTCTAATAGTTTTTACTCTTGTAATGCATATGTTAAAGTTCTAACTGGAAAAGGTCCAGCTTGAGGCTGACCTCATACATGTATCCCTTTTGTTGTTCAGATAAGTTGTTAATTGTATTAAGGGTGACTTAGTGATTAAGTCTTTTTCTGAAAAGTTGTGCATCTGATCATTGAACTTTTTTTTCCGCTTCAGAATTAAGCTGAGAAACTAAATTGTAATTTGTTTTAAAAAAAATGCTCCTTTGAAAGTCTGTAGTCTAAGTTCAGAAAAGTGCCCTTATTTTTTCTGTTTTAAATAAGGGGTTTTATATTGTGTCTGTGTGTATATACAACTACTGCAAATGCCAACAGTGGAATTAAAATTATGAATATACTTTTTCCTCATTTATTCACAAAATTGTGTCAGACAACAAGCAGATCAAATGTTCAAAAAACCTTTAGTTTTAGTCTGTTCAATAAATGTTTATCCTGTTCGGCCCGCGACCTAAAGTGTGCTTTGAGTTTTGGCCCCCTGTGAGATGGAGTCTGACACCTCTGGTTTAACTCCTTTTGAAGCCAAAGAATTTCAGTTGCTTGTCCTAATAGCAGACGTATTGTGTTGTAGGATTTAAAGTTAAGTTAACCTTCTTGATATTCTCTCTGTTTCAGGTTCCAGATTTGGTGTTAAAGGAACTGTGTTTCCACGGCTGTAAGGAACTGACTGACTACTCGGTGGAGGCTCTGGTGAAGCACCAGCCGAGCCTCCAGAGACTGGACATCAGTGCCTGCACTGACTTGACTAGTAGGTCTGTAGTGGCCATAGCATGGGGCCTGAAGTCACTGACGCACCTGTCTGTGTCCCACGACTGGAGAATAACTGAAAAAGGTGCCCATAGTGTATTTTTTTGCAAATCATTGTCCTAAAGATTAGTTTGGAAATATAACAAAACTAACAGTCTAAAGCCTTGCTAGTACCTGTGGTGTTTGTTCGTTTTATATTGAAAAGAGAAGACTAATAAGAGGATATATATTTCTCAATGTGAAATTTATTATGCATTAACGTATCAAAATTAGCATGTGCACATGGATCTCCACTGTTTAGGATAAACAGGTAAGACTAAACAGGAAAGACTGTCCTCAACTGGTTGGTATACAATATTTGTATGAAAAGTTGCTACTATTTAATTGGTCCAAAACTGTTGGGGAGAAGCCGTGGTTTAGACTTCACTCTCCCGTGATTGGTCCTTCAGTCCGTCCGTCCTCCAATCGTCCTCTCTGCTCCAATCATCGTGGACAGCGCCCTAGAAAGGAGAAGAATACCCATAAATCTAATGAAATTCAGTAATTTAGTGGACAAGACTTATGATGTTGCATTAGTGTTTCAGTGACTCACACAGCAAATATTTGACCAGTGGTTCAGTGACCACATAGGGTGATATTCATAACTATATAAACATAACTGTGACATATAAGTATGTAAACGTATGTGTGCTATAAAATAAAACCATTCTTAAGTGCATAAAATAAAAATCACCCTAACACAACAGATCACCTAGCTAAAGACTGCCATAAGCCGAAGCTGTACGCGGCGGTATTGAAAACAAAGATGGCGCCCATTAGAAGTGTTCAGTATAATACTTTAATCAACAACTAAATACTGTATATTGGAAGCATCTGAGGTTCACCCTGATGATGGCACTAGCGAAAAGGCTGTGTGCTTATTAAACTATAAGTGCTGTATCCTGTTGGGAGCATGAACATGCTTAGCAAATTTAACAGTAATTGGCAGCATGGCAGTGCAGTGATTAGCAGTATCACCTCATAGCAAGAAGGTTCTGGGTTCAAACCTTAGGATCAGCTGGTGTCTTTCTGTGTTGAGTTTGCATGTTCTCCCATGCCTATGTGAGTTTTCTCCAGGTATGCTGCTTTCCTCCCACAGTCCAGAGACATGCAGCTCAATGATAAAATGTGTGTTGTGTTGACAGCTTTCTGAAAAAAATGTTGGTTTAAGGTTTGTTAACTGAAATTTTTGACCTCCTCAATGCACATGAACTATCCCAGCCTCCTGTCTGCTAGAAAATGTGTTATACTTCAAGGTGATGGTTTCATGATGGTCACAGGTCTCGCTGAGCTGCTGTCTGTGCCGTCACTGAGGAGTCTGGATCTGTCAGAGTGTGTGCACGTCAATGGAACAGAGATCGTGAAAGGCTTGATGGGTTCCAATGCTAGCAGAGCACAGCTGAAGATTATCAACCTCAGGAGCTGCAACTACATTAGGGTCAGTCATTGACAGTGTCCAGGTGTGTGTTTGTGTGGAACTACATTTTTGTGAAAAATATCCTCCTCTCCTCAGGATCTTTCCGTTTTCTCTCTGGCCCAGCTTCTTGGGGATACGCTCTGTGAATTGGACCTGACCTCATGCATCAGTGTGACTGACCTCTCTGTGCGCGCTATTGCCACCTACCTTCAAAGGCTGGTAGTTCTACGGCTTGGCTGGTGTAAACAAGTGACAGACTGGGGTCTGCTAGGGATGGTGGAAATGACGATGTGTGAGCCTGACAAGGACAGGGTGAGAACCAGAGACAGAAGAAGAGCTTTCCTTCTACAGCCTTTGTAGTGAAGGCTGTAAATAATTTACTGCTCTTCGCAGGGTGACAAGGATTCCAGGTTCACCCGCACCTTTGGCAACATGGGCTTCTTCAAGCCTCCTTGTCTTCCTTTTGAGGCGCGTCCCAAGCTGGTGACAGAGACTGACCTGGAGCAATTCAAACAGCAGGCTGGAGCTTCTCTTTTAGCTCTCAGCAGGCTGCAGGAGCTGGACCTCTCTTCCTGTTCCAGACTCACTGATAGCAGCATCACACAGGTGGGAGGCTGAAGAGAGGCACTTTGTTCAGCTTGGAGAAGGAATACAGAATATTTGAAAAACTTTGACTTCTCCTTAGGTAATGCGGTACCCGGATCTCCAGCGACTGTCTCTCTCCATGCTGCCTGAGATCACAAATGCAAGCTTGGTGTCGGTAGCCCGGCACTGCCGCAGCCTCACCAGCCTGGCCCTCAGCCACTGTCCGGGTATCAGTGACTGCGGAGTGGCAAAGGCTGCACCGTACCTGCACAGACTGCAGCATCTCTACCTCTCCTGTTGTAATAACATCACTGACAGGTGAGTGGCACACAACTCCACTAATCGTGTATCTGTAGCCAGAGATAAAATATAAATTCCTTAGCATTTGACCTTTAAACCTCTCAGATCCTTGGCGTTCCTGGTGCAGCACTGTAAGCGCCTGAGAACCCTCGACATCTCAAGGTGCCAAAACATCTCCGTAACAGCAGTGGACCTCCTACAGTCACAGCTACCCTTTTTGGAAAATGTCCACTGCAAATTCATAGGTGGGGCTGATGACTGAGTGAATGCCTTGCAT